AAAGAATTAAACGAAAAAGACATTTCAAACTCTGCCAGCGCATATCAAAATGCGTCAAGCAGGGACAACATCAACAGACCTAATAATAATATTACCGCGATCAACGGTGTTTCTGATGTAGAGGACGCTACTATCGGTGGACATAATGGTGATAGCGTCAATGGTGTACCTGATCATGATCAGGATAATGAGGATGTGATTTCTCGGAGGTCGAGCGTTAATGGTAATTCTCAAAGGTTGTTGGATTCCCAATCTGGTTTGAGTATACATCTGCGTCTTAATTCGACATCTAGTCCTTTAATTAACATTCCCACAACAAATACTAGCACTCCCGCTTCATCCAGCACCGGTGTGAACGCGAACAATACCAGTAATTCCTACGCAAATGGTCACAGTGTAACGGGATCAATGTACGAGGAGATTTCGCAAATGTACCCAAGTCAAAATGCACAGTTCATTCCGGTTCCTCCTCAATATTATACCCCCCAATTCTTTCCAAACAATGGACAATTTCTTTATGACTCTCAATACAGATTTGGTCGTTCCCCTCAACTTCTTCCCTCGACACAACCTATTCCCGTAAGATCAAACGTTTATCCTTATCCTCAAATACCTGTAATCACTCAAATGCATCCTCCTCCCCACTTCCACAATCCCTTAATTCAAACTCCACCTCTTTCTGTGAGATATCTAAAGCCGCCTAGTGCTGGAGGGGATTCCGGGTTTTCGTCTCGGAGAAGCTCTTTTGATCAATCCAGAAATTTTGAATATAGTCCACAACGGATACATCAACAGAATAAGCCCAAAGAACTGGATAAGGCTCTCTGGGTAGGGAATCTACCAGATTCAACCACTCACGAAGAATTGAAGGAGTTTTTTGCCGATGAAAATATGGAGGTAATGATTGTATATCGGAGGTCTCAAATACTTATGGCAACAAATAGTCAAGAGACCTTTATATTGCCATATTATTCTATAAATTTTCTCTTTGTCTATTTAGAGATTCATTCAAATAATCAATTTTATCATCATATTGACTTTCCTGTTTATTTATTTATTTATTTTATTAGAGCGTATTTCTTATCAGAAAATCAAATTGTGCTTTTGTAAATTACAAGACTCATGAGGCAGTTGTTGATGCCGTTGAAAAATATAACGAGAAAGGTAGGGTGTATACGGATTTGTGAATACATATAATTTACTTAATAAGTATCTTAGATTAAACTGTGTTAATCCCTTTCAGAATTTAAAGGTATCAAGCTTGTTTGCCGACCAAGGAAGGTAAATCATCATCATTCTTTTCTGCTTTTATCAAGATAATGTTTCCGCACGTTATAACGCATGTGAATATTCAGCAGACACCTGCGGACCTAAAGAAATCAGGGTCTCGGTCTTCTCTGGTTTCTGAAAATACATCTCCGCCTACTCCTTCGGAAGCAGGATCTACTGAGTCTTCTTCTACAAGATCTCGTAGGTCATCTGTGCCACCACGGCAACGAATTCGACAATCCTCAATTACGTCTGCGTCAACTACTTCCCCGATATCTCCATCAAAACCTCCATCACAGAACAGATATTTTATCCTAAAATCGTTGACCCAAGATGATCTTGATATTTCCGTGCAAAATGGACTTTGGGCCACGCAACCTCATAATGAAGCTCCTTTGAACAGAGCCTTTAAAGTTGGTTTTTCTCTTATTTTTTTTTCCTTTTTAGCAATTAAATCCCGATAAGTTTGAGCTCATCGTTATCCTTGCTTTGTAATTCAAGAGCGCAGAGCATGTTTATCTGATCTTCAGCGCTAATAAGAGTGGCGAGTTTTACGGATATGCAGAGTAGATATTGCAAAAATGGTCATGCTTTTTAGTTAAAAAATTTCTAACCAAAGATTTTACTAAATTATTATTTTCTTTAGAATGAAGAGTCCGATTAGCAAAGAGACAACAGAGACCGTCCAATGGACTCCAATTGATGAGGCAGCACTAGCTGCCTCCTCTTCGCGACCTTCATCTGCCTCGGAAGATTCAAAAGTACGAGTGAAAAAGTCACAAGATGATGAAAATGAAGATTGTGAAGACGACTGTGTTCCCTCGCGAAACTGGGGAACAACTTTTAAAATAGAATGGATTACAGTGTTAGTAGATATCATAAATTCTAATATTTAATTGATTTCCCTATTTAATTATATTTTATGTCAGTAAAAAATTACCGTTCATTCGAACGCGTCACCTACGTAATCCTTGGAACTTAAATCGCGAGGTGAAGATTAGTAGAGATGGCACTGAAGTCGAACCAGTTGTTGGTGAAAGATTACTTGCGGAATTTCATAAGGAGCCTCTGCAAGCTGTTTCCTCACCTTATATGCCACTTATGTTGACGCAACCATTAAACATCGATAATCAAAATGTCGGCGATGCCCAAGAACGGTAAGCGTTAACATTGATCGACATTACAATAGTAATTGATTCACACAGACTTATTTTCTCTCTCACCTAAGGAGGACACCGTTACCTTCTCAAAACGGGACGCCTTCATTACAAACTCCGTTACAACCGATGATGGATC